TAGCTTACTAAATTTAGCAGCGTCTGGTCGTCTTTTCTTACTATATGAGACGGAGGTACAACATAGTAAAGAAAGAAAATGTACAATGAAAATTTCGGATCCTCATAAACGTCATCGTTCTTTTCCAGCCGTCCTGGAAAAGAAAAAAGAAAATGTAAGTGCATGTCGAAATACACTCGTATGTGCGTAAAAACACAATGTCGGCGGAAAAAAAATGGAAAATAAACTCATGAACACGTAATAGCGTTTAAAAAAATTGATTTTTTTTGGTTTTGTTTTTTTTTAGATAGAAATAAAAATATATAAGCATATTAAAATTGTTTTTTTTTTAAAAATAATATAAAATGTCGAGAAGTACCTTACGTGCAATAGTCGTTTAAATGTTCTGGAAATCTCACCCTTCTTCCAGAACGCGTCGTTTTAAGTTTATTTTCGGATACTGTCGAAGTATCATCGTGTGTGTTGGTTGTCGAATGAGGTATTATAAGTGTCGGAGTCGTGTCGTTCGATTGTACCGAAGGAAAATCCACGTAGATAGGATTTCCTTCTAAATACGCTGCTTTTAAGCGATCGATGCTGATGCTATCGTTGGTTCCGTTCTTATCGACTATATAGTACTTAGATTCACGTTGAAGAACTTTGAAGGGTCCTTCGTATGCTGATTCGAATGGTCGTCGATGCGAGTCTCGACGAACGAAAACGTGTGTACTATATCGTAAGTCAGGTTGAACGAAAACATCGGTTGATTGTGGTCGAGTGGAAGCAGGTTTAACTGAACGCATTGCGTTTGTAAGCCTGTTCATGTAGGAGGTTAGATCCATGTTCATTGAAGAGGATGAAGGATCCACAAATTCTCCTGGAAGTCGAAGTGTCGTACCATAAACGAGTTGAGACGCAGTGTATCCAATGTCAGCTTTCACTGCATTGCGGATACCTAGTAAGACGAGTGGAAGAGCGTCGGTCCACTGTGAAACGTTTGCAGCTGATAGCGAAGCTTTCAGTTGTCGGTGAAAACGTTCTACCAACCCGTTTGCTTGTGGATGGTAGGCGGTCGTTCGGAAGCGAGTGCTTCCTAAAAGAGTGGTCAGACGACGGAAAAGGTCAGATTCAAATTGACGTCCGCGGTCTGTAGTGATGGTTGAAGGGCAGCCGAAGTTTGCTACCCATCGTTCGACGAAGGTGCAGGCCACTGTTTCAGCAGTGATGTCCTTGATAGGTACTGCTTCTGGCCATCGAGTGAAACGGTCTACGCAGGTTAAGAGATAAGAGTATCCATTTGAATCTGGTAAAGGTCCTACCAAATCCAGATGAACATGGTCGAAACGAGCATCGGGAGTTTTAAACGAGCCTAAGGGACATTTATTGTGTCTTATAACCTTAGATTTTTGGTAGCTTACACAGGAGCGTGCCCACTCCCTCACGTCTTTATTCATTCCAGGCCAGCAAAACCTTTCTGCTATAAGCTTGATGGTTGCACGAACACCTGGATGCGAAAGTTTGTGCAATGTGTTGAAGACATTGCGTCGATAATGTTTCGGCACGATTGGGCGATCCCTACCTGTAGATGTGTCACAAAGTAAGGTTTCCTTACCTGTTCCCATCTGTTTGATGCGTAGTTTAAGTGTTGTGGACGATAACTCGTGCTGAAGATCACTGTCTTCTTTTTGAAGCTCGGCGAGTTTAAGAAGGTCGATTCCTTGGAAACTGTTCAAGGAAGTTATACGAGATAAAGCGTCTGCAACTACATTGTTTGCTCCAGAGACGTGTTGAATATCTGAAGTAAACTGCGAAATGTAGTCCAGTTGTCGAGACTCACGGGGAGAGTACTTGTCAGTAGGAGAGCTTAACGAGAAAGTAAGCGGTTTATGATCCGTGAAAAGAGTGAATTCACGACCTTCGATGTAGTGTTGGAAATGCCGTACAGCACAATACATAGCTAGGAGTTCCCTATCGAATGTGCTGTACCTCGATTCGGTGTCTAGCAACCTTCTAGAGAAAAATGCCAAGGGTTGCCAGGAGTTGTTAACCCATTGTTGTAAGACTCCTCCGATTGCTGAGTCGGATGCGTCTACTGCGATGCTAATGGGTGCTCGGGTGTCCTGATGTGCGAGCATTGTTGCTTTAGCAATCAGTTCCTTAACTGTGGAGAATGCTTTTCGTGCGGTGTCGTCCAAATTAATGGATTTCGCATTTCCACGAAGTTGGTCGGTCAGAGGTTTCATAAGTAATGCGCATTTGGGTATGAAACGTCTATAGAAACTTACCAGGCCGTTAAACGTGCGCAATTGCTTGACGGTGGTCGGTTCTGGGTAATCCAGAATGGCCGCCACTTTGGTCCTAAGAGGTCGAATGCCTTGAGCATCGATAGTGTGTCCTAGGAAGTCTAACGAGTCGGTTCCGAATTGGCATTTCTGAACGTTTACAGTTATGCCATGTTTTTGAAGTCGTTCGAAAACAAGATCCAGATGCTTGAGATGTGTTTCTCTGTCCGGACTTGCGATTAGACAGTCATCAACATACGCGTGTACGAAGTTGAGGCCTCGAAAAACGTCGTCTATGAATCTTTGGAATGTTTGAGCAGCATTCCTTAGACCGAAAGGCATTCGCAAAAATTCATAGAGTCCGAAGGGAGTTATGATAGCCGTTTTCGGTATGTCGTCAGTAGCCATAGGGATTTGGTTATACGCTTTAACCAAGTCGATTTTCGAAAAGACAGTTGTACCTTTCAAGGTGGCTGTCAAATCGTGAATGTGAGGCAACGGGTAACGATCGGGAATGGTTTTCGCGTTCAATCGCCGATAGTCACCAGTTGGACGCCAATCGTTGCTGTCCTTTTTAGGGACCATGTGCAACGGAGATGCATATGGGCTACTTGACGGTCGTATGATTCCTAAGTCCATCATGTGATCGAATTCGTTTTTCGCTAACCTTAGCTTTTCAGGAGCTAGTCGGCGTGCTTTAGAAAATACAGGTGGTCCTGTAGTCGTGATGTGATGTGTAACATTGCTGGTTACACACGGTAGTTTCGTTTGAGTTTGTTGTATCTCAGGGTACTTATCGAGTAGTGGTTGATAGAGTGGGTCTATCATATGTTTAACTGTGACTGGGGATACTCTACAACCAGTAAAAGAAGTTACGCAAACGGACAAATTAGTGTTACCGTCTACTAGCCTCCGTTTGCGCGTGTCGATGATCAGATTGTGGTGTTGTAGAAGATCCATACCAATGATTGGCATAGAAACATCTGCAACAACGAAAATCCAGTGGATGGGTTTGCGTGAACCCACGTTAAGGTAAACGTACCTTTTGCCATACGTAGCGATCGGTTTTCCGTTTGCCGCCTGTAAGTTTAGGGTCGATTCGTGTAGTCGGTCGTTAGGATTTGCTGGGAGAACGCTAACTTCTGCGCCAGTGTCGACGAGGTAGCGAACTCTCGTTGTCACATCTGTGACGAATAACAGACGGCTTTGTTCGCCGGCTACGGTTGCCGTTAACGCGTGCCGGCTTGGAAGTTTCCCGAATTGCTTTTCGAATCAGTCGGTTTCGTGTTGGGAAAATTGCAGGGTTTCCTGCAATTTCTGGAAAACTTTCCATACTGGTTATGATACCAGCACCAGTCGGGGTTATCTGTCTCTCGTGGTCTAGAGACAGATCGCTTACGAGAAATGCTTCTACGTGGTGTGCGCGATCTCTTACGGTCGGTACGAAGACTAAGATAACGCGTGAGTGTGTGACATAAGTCGTTTATATCATTCTGAGTCGTTTGAGGTTTTTCTTTGACTGAAAATACCTCGGTAGTAGATTTCGTAATTTCTAAAATGCGGTCGGCAGATGCAGCTAGCTCGTCTAAGGCGTTGTTCTGGAACGAGACCAGAACTGCTTGCACCTGTTGGGGAAGTTTTGACAAGAAGAGTTGTTTGAATAGGCCTTCGTCGAAAGTTCTTGGGCCTATAACCTCTCTCATCCGTTGCAACATGTCTGTCGCAGAACCGTGTTGCAGGTCGATATTGTTGAAGAGTTGATCTAACCTTTGTCGATCGGTTAGGTCTCCTCGTTTAAGAATCGAGCGTTTTAAGATTTCGTAAGGATCGGAAACATCACTAGTAAACATACTAGGTGTTACGTACCTGTTGAATTCGCGCGGTAGTGCCTTGACTACTGCGAGGAATTGTGCACGTGTGTCGATCACGCCGTGCTCGGAAAAGTCGGCTTCTGCGTAGCAAAACCAGGCTTCGATGTTGTCGGGCCAGAAAGGCATCAGTTGAAACGAAGGCGGGGACAAAGTCTTAAGCTTGAGTACTTTAGGTGTCTGTTCAGTCATGATGAAGTATGAAGTACGATAATGAACGAGGGGAAAATATATATATCCAGGAAAAAACACGAAAAAAAAAATCACAATGTTTAAAAAAATAAAAAAATAAGGCAATGATATATAAAAATCCCAAAAAGGAACAGACTCACAGTTGCAATTAGGTGTACCAGATCACGACGGTCTCACCAATGATGATGTCACAGGTATTCAGTGTTTGACAACGCTTCTACCAGTAACACCTTCTAATATATTTCGTTCCCGCCCAGAGAAATCAAAAGACAGAGTCGAGGAGATCGGAAGAGTATATTTGGCGATGACCAATATATCGGAATTCTCTGATCTAATCTGGCTAGCGATTGCGGTTCATGGTGAGCACGGCGTTACCACACGTGATCTGGTGCAGATGCCTGACCGAGCGCCTTCAGCTAGATGAGTCCACTAAAACATATGGTCAGCATGCAATGTCGAAAACTTACAGAGCTATTTATTTTAGGGATTTATTTACCGCTACACCATCCACACATTTGGCTAAATACTATTTCGACATCATAACTGATGTCAGTTAGTGATTAAAACACTAAATATAGTTTTCAACCCTAGTCAGCAACTCTAGATCACAATTATAATTCCTTACATTGCTTAATAACCCTCGTTTAGTCCTTGTTAGTAGGTGGACATTCCCAAGGTCATTTCAGCATCGCTACAAGGTCGTCCGTAAACTACAGTCTCATTACTTATTGGAATCAACACTGTTCGGTATGAGACAGGCATTCTTTTGGAAATATAACACCGTTATGTTTTTTTCGGCATTGAATATACGTGCTAATCCTTGTTCATTATTTCAGTTATTTTATTTTATGCGAATACTTTTGTATACACAATGAATTTTGGTCCAATGTTTTTTTCGAATCGCTCTACGAAATTATTTGATATCCATTACCAGTTTTATGCATGATCTATGTGGCGCACCGTTTATGAAAACAACAACTTATAATTTAATCTGACAAGCATTGCATTGAAGTGTGATATTTTCGGCAGTGGTTCCAAAGTATAATCAGCATAATAATAAAGCCTGCACATATTTATGTAACGTCTTTTACTTTTCAGTTATGAGTAACATCTACGTTACCGAACCAGCAACTCATGGTAAAGTTATTCTAAAGACCACAGTTGGGGAAATAGAAATTGAGTTATGGTCCAAAGAAGCCCCTAAAGCATGCAGAAATTTTGTCCAGCTGTGTATGGAGGGCTACTATAATGACACATCATTCCATCGGCTTGTTCGTGGTTTCATCGTTCAGGGTGGAGATCCGACAGGTACTGGAGAAGGTGGCGAAAGTATATACGGACAACCCTTTAAGGTTGGTCAAAAGTATTTTACTTATTCTTTATGTATCTTCCGATTTTATCGTGGTTTTTGTCCTAGCTTTTAGTTCGTTTTCTCTTATGACAGGACTACCAGATCATTATGTTTGTTCGATTCAGTCAGTCCACCATTGAAAGACACAAAATCCACCAAAATCCCCTCTTGATAAATTTATAATCAAAAAGGTCACAGAATAGTATTTTATATATATTCTTCAAAGAGTTAAATTCTCAAAGTAAATATGAACAGTAGATATTTGTGGCAACGTAATATTAGTTGTAATACTAAGTTGTAGTGTTAATGATGACGATATAAAATTACTTGAATGAAGGTTGTTAAACTAACATGTAACTACAAATTGAGCTAGGCCATCAAAGTAGGCTTTTTGTGTTATTACTTAAATTGACCTTTAGACAGACAACTAACCACATTTATTTGACTGTTAATTTTTTAAAGATGATTTCTTTGAAGTAACATTCCATTTCACTATGTTAGTAACCAACTTACAGTCCCTTTTGGTTATAAACTTATTTAACAATTTATTGAGTTTAACTAGTAGAGTCCTCATGTCTTAAATCTCTTGCTCTTATATCGTTCAGACGGAAATTCATTCAAGACTATCCTTCAATCGTCGTGGCCTTGTTGGGATGGCGTGCCTTGAAGAAAACATGAACGGGAGTCAGTTTTTCTTCACTCTAGGGTCGGCTACAGAACTTACAGGAAAACACACATTGTTTGGTCGTGTGGCTGGTGAAACTCTGTTCAATATGCTGCGGCTCGGTGAAGGAGATGTAGGCCGAAACGAACGACCGTTGAGGCTTCATCGGATTGTTAGCACTTATGTAAGCCATCATATATATATATATATATATATATATATATATATACTTTTCGTTTAATTCTCGTAAACTCATCCCATCAGGCATTGAACGCGATGAAGAGCGTAAATAAATCAGATCTAGGCTAACCCAAAGTTTGAGGGACGACCGTGAGCAGTGGTGGGCAACGAAAGCGAAAGAGTTGGAAATGGCAGATGCTGTAGGTAACACAAGACACCTTTTCAGACTAATAAAAGAAACCGAATTATTTTCAGTGAGTCAGTTTTCTACAGGATGGGGTCGCTAACCCCACGCTCAACCCTCCTCTTTTACCCGGGCTTGTGACCGGCAGTAACTCTAGAAGAGCTACAGGTGTAAGGAAGTACACCATGTAAATTTCAGTCCTGGGTGATGTTGGTTTAGAGATTTACTTTATACGTCGTTTTATGTATATTAGAAACTTGCTAGGCACTATTGTCAAATGAACACCAAATATTGTGCTCACATACATAGGAAAGTGAATGATATAAATGATTTGAGTCGTTCGGTTGTTAGTGTACGATAAATGATATTAGGTTTAAGCTGTAATAATTAGTAAGTATTACGGTCATAAGATGTGGACTAAATTCTAGGGATTTAATTCAGTCTTCCTAATGGCTGTGTCAGTTAAGGTTGTAGAAGTTAAGTTTAGAAACCATTAATTATTTTGTGTTATAGCAATATACTTGTTCAGCAAATGCTCAACTGCTCTCCCATTTTGTTTGCATTCCAATAACCAGTTACTTGTTAAATCTATTTTCGACATCGTTTTCTTTTCGTGTATTATTGTATCTTTGGTTTGTACAGCTGGTTGTAATCCAGTGGTTTTGAAGTGTTTTCTCATAATTTAAATCTTTTTTCCTCTAAAATTTTTATGGGTCACATCGTGTAGACTCCAGGTTTTGAGCATAAGGCCGTGAGCTAAAATCGTACCTCGATTTGGTCTAGATGGTCATTTCAAAATTCTATAGGTTCATAACCCAGTACTTTGCGTTTATTTTTCCTCGGTGAATCATTTGTTTCTGTTTATCTTTTAGCCATAAACCTTGACAAGCTTTAATGTAGGTAGCGCTTATAATTGCAATTCACGTACATAAGCTGTGACTCATTACCAGATAAACAAGGTTATGTGGGTATTTTTCTTTATTTACAACTATATTCACGTATCTCAGAAAGTTTAAAACTGTTTATCTAACTTGATTTGTTGATAGGTTATACTCAACCCATATGACGATATTGAACCGAGGCATCGGCCAAAGAAGGTAGTTAAATCAGGTCCCGAAGAGGAAGTTAAGGTCACTGCAAAAGCTACAAAGTAAGTCAACCTATCTCTGTAAAATAGACTTAATTTTCGAAAACGTATATATCTTGTTATCATAACTAGTTGTAAAAGATTTGGGGGAAGAAGTGTTTGTTTCAGTTATATTATTACAGTCGTTTACATGAAATCGTAATCTATTCTTAACTGGTGTTTGATAACTGGCCATGATTGTCTTATACGTGACATAGTTTCAGTAAGTATTTTAAAAGACTGACAGCTAATATGTTAATCAGTGTTAATTTATTAAATGATGTAACAAGGATAAATGGATGTATACAAACACAAAACGAAACTGTGAAGTGAAAAAAACGAGGACAATATAGTGGGGGTAAAAGGAAATCCGAAATTGCTTGAGGCTTTCACTTTTGCTTATTGCAGGTTAGGGAGTCAAATTACCTTTTAAATGAAAATTCAAGTGTTTTAAACGTGTTTTCCTGATTTCTATAGTTTAAAGAAGCTTAATTCGCCAAGTGACCAAAACAGTAAAATGATCTAAAATTGAGCTGTCGAGCTAAAATTCTGTTTTTTTAAGAAATGCAACTAAAAACGAACACTAGATTGCGCCAATGTATGTTACTTTGTAGGTGAATTTTCAGATCCCCACTGAATTGAGTAGATGCGGCAGTTTATCTTTCAAGCATATTTGAAGCATTTTGCTTGAAAAATTTATTCATAGCTTTACTGTGAGATAGGTTTTTTCTCAAACAATGGAACAATAGATATCTAAGTATTTCTACCGATGAGAAACTGTCGCATTCTTTAAAACTGAGTCGTACGTTACAAAGCTGTGGACCAGTATCATATCGACTGTATTCATTTCGTATGCCATGCAAGTACCCAACCGTAGCTGCTACCCTGATTTGGTGGTCGGGTTTGCCTACTATGATGACTCAACGAGCCATATTGGCTGGAACACTTGTTCCTTTAGGTCCTTTCATGCCAGGCAGGTTGGTTGGAGAACGGTAAGACTAAAAGCACCAACTTAAGGCCCGAGGGCGGAGTTCAACAGCACCATTCAACCAAACGGAACAGTAAGAACTCGGAGAGTTAAGGACACATGCCGTCGCCTTTTCATTGTCTCTGCGTACGTTCCCACTGATTGAAGGTCAGATGAAGTTAAAGATGAATTTTATGGGAAGCTATCAAACCCCTTTCAAAAAGCTAAACTCTCTGGTTTGATACGTTTCAGGTGATTTTATTACTCAAGTCGTTAAACTAAACCACCTTGGACAGGCTCTCTTCTCGAACACTTCTGGTCGGGTCTAAGCTTGTGGCTAACCGTCATCGGAATTGGTTACTTTAAGTGATGTTCGTCAGGGTTGTCCCCTTTCTCCACTTTTATTTAACTTTGTTATATACATGCTTTTACAGATAACACTTTCATTGTCCAACTTTCCGAGGGTCGATCTTCTACCAGGAGGTCCAATTGTTGACTTAGAATACGCAGATGATATGGTTCTGTTTGGTGAAGACGTTGACAAAGCTCACAGTCTTCTGACCACCTTGATCAACAATGCAAGCATGTTTGGGATGCGGCTCTCTCTCTCCAAATGTAAAATGTAACTTCAAGATTGGCCTGCGTCATCGCCCGAATTATTGTTAGGGAGTGAAGTAGTTGAACACTGACCGCTTCGCTTGTCACGGAAGTCTCATCAGTACTGATAGTCTGGTGTCTGGTGAAATCTCGGAACGGATTCAGAAGGCTACCTTTTCTTTCGTCAACTTGCGTTACTTGCAGTGTAGGACGATATCTGTAGGTTACTGGTGTTTGATCATAAATGTCTATAAAGCACTGCTCGTGTATTCTGGGACCACGGAGTAAGTAGTGCCATGGATTAGGAATAGAGTACTAGGTAAAGATAGTAAATTGATTAGTAAGGCAGTAAATTTTATGGTGCAGAAGCAGGCTGGGAGAAAGCTAGGGGCAGTCACATCAATACATGTTATCAGTCCATGAAGTCACTGGCAACTGAACTTCAGCATGTTAATAGGTACGGACTACCTGGTTAGTGTCCGTGTGGCTATTTTAACCAATGGTTAGAGACTTGGGATGACATGGCTCGAAAACGTTTGCAACGGCTCAGGTGCATCCATTCTCTATCTTCTCCCGAATCCTGAGCTTCTGAATCCCTCATAAATTTTTTCATGTTTTATTTCACTAATTTATATTTTATATATTATCGTATCTAACGGGATGTGGCAACTTGAACCGATGTACATAAGTAACAGGTTCGACGTTGTGATCGACTGAAACTAAGAAACAAACTGGGTTGTGGCACCTACTAGCACTATGTTTTGTTGCTACCTGAGTTGCCGATCCACTACTATGCCGTGTTTTGGACGTAGAACCTTCAGGCCTCACGACTTTCGGACTACTAAACTGGCGTTTAATGGTCTACATATCTTATTTCAGTCTGTCCTCGATGTTACACAACCGTCTTCCTATTACATTGGTCAATAACTACTTCGCACCCAGACTAGCTGAACTGCACTGGTCGCGGTTTCTCATTATAACTTCAGGAATTACCTCTCGAAATTAGTCATTAATAAGCAAAATCTGACAATTGAATTTTAACAAGTGAAATATATTCGTCACTATTATTCTAACTTTACGTTTTATTTTGAATATATTAATCATTTTATAATACTTATCTTACTGGTATTTCTACGTAATACTATTTACTAACAAAATTCCCTGTATTATACCATTGGTAATTTTATTAATCGTTTATTCTGTAGGAATTTTTCTCTTCTATCTTTCGGAGAAGAAGCAGAAGAAGAGGAAGAAGTTGTAAACACAGTAGTTGAGGTGATTTTTAATGTATATAATTTTTACCGTTAATTTCTCATGTACATTCGCATTTCCTCAACAAGAGTTAACATGATTTATTTATAAAAATACTCCATATTATGTTTAGATTTCATCTACTATTTTTAGAAATTTCGACAAAAGAGTAAAAGTGCTCATGATCTCCTTTCTGATCCTCGTCTTAGCTCAATCCCGGTGACGATAAGCGATGAAGATGCTGAGGCAGTTAATCGTGCAAAATCAGAATTAGAAAAAGAAATTCAAGAACGACAACGGCGACGTGATGCAACACACCTTCAAGAAGATGAAGCTAAAGCCAAACGAATGTAAGCCAGTTGATATTTTCTCGCATAAGTTTTATTTATGGTTGAAAGCAACATATCGTATATTGTTGGTGTCTTTGTGCTAAATATGCATTTCATCTTTTTGTCTCTCCACTACTTGTGACTTCATAAGGGATCCATAGTTTTTAATCCCATATATTGAATTTTACTTGACGTTTGGTAAATGAGAAAAAGGTGTCTTTTTATTTTAATATTTTTTGTTGGTACAGAAATGCGTTCCACTTAAAGATGATATATATTGGGTAGATGAAGACAGTTAAACGAGAGGCTTTGTTATGTAGGCTTTTTGTGGTTTGATTGCACTGAACTTCCGATTGTTAAAATCAGTGAATACGATGCTAATCGATAGATGAACACAATAATATCAACTTGAATGAAGAAAGAACAAATATGATAGCAGAATAATATGAAGTATTTTGTTTCGTGGATTCTCCTCAGCTGCTTACAACTTAAAACCTTAGTATCAATCATTAAAACAAATGTACATATTTTCAATCAGAAACCTGTAGAATAATCTGGGTTAAAATGTGGAAATAAAGTGATATTAAGAGACCATAATACTGAGGAATAAAAATTGTTCGACCAAGTAGTCTGCATCTACCAACATGGCTCAGACTGGAAGTTAGTGATCCCAAGTACTGATACCACATTTTGCTTTGGCCAACCCTAACTTCCACTCATCCCCAATACTAGTCAGCATTGCATATCGTGGTAATCGGTGTTCAGGTATACGTAATACGTGGCCCAACCATCTATAAGTTGAAGAATTTTTGGTGAATGAGGCAATTTGTGTAGGCGGATAGTTGTGAAAAATTGACACGGATAGCAGGAGGAAGTTTAGCACTGTTTGGGTGATAGCTATTCATGGGACCGTATTATTAGGTCATCGAGTAACTATACATCAAATAAAAGACCACTAGCTAAATGATCAGTTTTCATATAATAAAATAACGTGATTATATAAAACATATGGATAAAAAATAAAAATAATAAAATGTCATAGACGATTGGACGATATTAGCTTATAGGTTACTCATCCTTCAATCAATTAAGACCTGATTATTAGGCTTAATCCTCGGGAATCGTATCAACCTTGAACATGTGTCTTTCAGTTATTCTGCACTACATGAATGTGGTATTGTGATAAGAATTTATATCTCTTGGGGGGCACGTACGGTGAAGTTATTGGTACACTGTACATATGAGCATCCAGAGTCCACTCTTTTATCTCCAACCATCGAATTTTCAAGTGTCGTACTTACGTCAATAGCTTGATCGATAAAATTCAATAACTCTTACATAAATGACTGAATATTGTCAAGTTTAACTTTATTGGTATGATTGATTGGGTAATTAAGTATTTGGGGTTTGCTGTTTATCTTTTGTAGTGAAATGTTGCGACAAGAAGCTGAGGAATTACGTCGTCAAATAGCATTGTCAAAGCGCGCTGAAAAAAACAAACAGTCGAAAGAGAAGGAAGAATTAGAACGTAAGGCCCGTGAAGCTCAAGAGCAAAAAGAACAAGAAGAAGCTGCCTTGGCCCGCTGGGAGGCTAAACAAAAAGGCGAACTTGATGGTGATTCAAAGACTACTCAACCTTTGGTAGATGATTTAGAAACTTTTTCAGCTGATTTTGCCAGTTACAAAGCAAAGTCAAAAAAAGCTATAAAGGTAAGATCATACAAAATAATCGTATGTCCCCAATTTATTGAATCAGAATCGTTTTGTCAAATTCAAGTTTTACTTGTTGAATATATGCGATTTCGAATTCTTTTCTAAAAGTTTTGTGACGTACACTCATATCATTTTAGAGTTCTTTGAAATGTTCAGTATCTGATAAAAGTCAAACATATTTCACAATATTGCAATAGGAAGACGGTTGTGTAACATCGAGGACAAACTGAGATAAGATATGTAGGATGTTAATAAACTTCTTAGGCACACCCTTCTTCAATAGACAATCCCAGAGAACAGTCCTATCCAACGAATCGAAGGCAGCCCTGATGTCAAGAAACACTACGATTGTTGGCCTTTGATAAATATGACGGTGTTCTAAAATTTGGCGGAGGGTGAAGATATGATCAATACATCCTCGACCAGAACGAAACCCAGCCTGCTCTTCGCGAGTCAATCTCGGGTTTTGAACAACCTACAAAGTATGACGGAAGCCAATAGCTTGGACGCAATCGGAAGTAGACTTATCCCCCGGTAGTTATTACAGGAACGACGTGAACCCTTTTTAAAGATAGGGACAACTATCGACTCATTCTATGACGTTGATAAATATGATGATACAACCATAATATCCTAACCATTCATAGTATCTTTTCATGTCATTATTGACTATTTGCATATATATATATCTATATTGGTTATCGATTAGATTTCCTTATGTTATGATAACACTAGATAAAAACATGACGGTAAATATTTCAAGTTCATTTCTCACATTGATGCACTTAATCTCCTTAAATTCTTTCCTTTTTACATCTTTTTCCATATTCTTAACAATCAATATTTCATTATATTTTCTATTGAGCATTTTCTTACTGTCAATATATTTTTGAATTACATTTTATATATGACAAAGACATGTTTATTAAAAATAACATTAACAACGAAAAGAGATGTGGTTATGACATTTTCTCAGCTCCTGTATTCATCTATTACATTTTGTCGAAATCTCATTAACTTATAATATACAATTATTTCATAATTTTTATAAACTAAGACCTAAAAAAGATTGTAGGATGAAGCGAATTAATTTTATTTCATGTTTTCTAGATTATTGAAATCCTCACTGATTTTTGTATAAATTAATAAACTGTTTCATTAATCCAATATTATGTGGAATATATATAATGTCAAAACAACCTATGAGTTAATTTCATCTAAACTAGTAAAAAAACTAGGCCCGATTTGGAAATAGAGATTGTGTTTTTTTTCATTTGTTTACTAATCGTAAGAGCTGCAATTGTTTTCTTTTGAAATAACATATATTTATTTTACAGGGTTCTGAACGTGAAGCTGTAACTTTATCATTGTTGGAACGATTCGGTAATCGTCTTCGTAGTGTTATTGGTTCCGAAGAATCAAACGAAGAACTTTGGAAATTTTCACCTATGGATGATTGGTATGTTTGCTGTTGACACATAGAACAATTTGTTTTATTTGAAACAAGTGGTACATTACTTACTTGCGCCTGTCACTCCCGATGGATCATAGGCCACCGACCAGCATTCTCCAACCCACTCTGTCCTGGGCCTTCTTTTCTAATTCCATCCAATTCTTGTTCATTTTTCTCATGTCTATCTCCATTTCCCGGCGTAATGTGTTCTTTGGTTTTCCTCTTTTCCTTTGGCCTTGAGGATTCCACGTGAGGGCTTGTGTTGTGACACAGTTGGGTGCTTTCCTCAGTGTATGTCCTATCCACTTCCAGCGCTTCTTCCTAATTTCTTCCTCCACTGAGATCTGGTTTGTTCTTTCCCACAGTTGGTTGTTGCTAATAGTGTCCGGCCAACGGATCCGAAGTATTTTACTTAGACAACTGTTAATAAACACCTGTATCTTCTGGATGATGGGTTTCGTAGTTCTCCAGGTTTCCGCCCCATACAGTAGAACTGTCTTGACATTTGTATTGAAAATCCTGACCTTGGTGTTGGTTGACAGTTGTTTTGAGATCCAGATGTTCTTCAGTTGTAAGTATGTTGCTCTCGCTTTGCTGATCCGCGCCTTCACATCTGCTTAACATCCACCGTGTTCATCGATGATGCTGCCCAAATATGTAAAGGCTTTTATATCTTTCAAATCTTCTCCATCAAGTGTGGTTTGATTGGCGCATTCTGTGTTGTATCGGAGAATCTTACTTTTCCGTTTGTGTATGTTGAGGCTGCTGCTACACTGGTCGTCTTCTCGTGCATTTGCTGTTGCGTGTGCGATAGAAGAGCCAGATCATCTGTGAAGTCTAGATCGTCCAGCTGCATCATAGCTGTCCACTGTATTCCATGCTTCCCCTTCGATGTTGATGTCTTCATGAGAGTAAGCAACCTTGCCTGACACCGGTCTTTACCTCGAACGAGTTTGTCAACTGTCTTCCATGCACGATTTTGCAGTTTAATCCATCATAGCGATTCTGTATGATATTGACTATCTTCTGAGGCACGCCATAGTGTCGAAGAAGCTAAGTGGTACATATAACTGTTTAAATATTCATTGTAATAGATAAATGTTATTTACTTTAGGATACGAATAATGAAAATATTAATTTAGTGATTTAGATCACACGATCCACGTTTGGGAAATATTTTTTCCTGGCAGCTTCGATTTTGGAGCTGTGTTTGTTCTACATATTAATTTTTTGTGAGCGTCCAGCATGTTTATCTAGCAAAATTGTCGCATTTGTCACTTAGTACTGAAATCAGGAAATGTTTTCAGCGGATTTGTATAGGTTCAATTTGAAAACTGATATTTTAGTTATTCTGTTAAAGTCTCATATCCTTCTTCACCTCAAATACTGTTTTCATCCGTCAAATATCAACTGTTACTCAAGGCTAATTCGTACTTGATTTATTGAGTAGTAACAGCTCCTAATGATTACCTTTAAAAGTGTTGTAAATATTTGAAGTACGTCAAACATATAAAAACTAAATGTTTTGCGCCAAATTAGTGTAATAATCTAGTACTGTCAAGAGGGGCTTAAAACTTAAGAATAAATGGGTAATGAATTATAAGCAAACTGAAACATATACATCGCTGATTACAGAACTACTTATTGAAATATTCACTATTTTAACTAGCTTTTAGGTAACCCACATTCAGAAGATTTATTGAGATTTCTATGCCTACATGATTCATAGTTTTTAATAAAATGTAATTTAAAGTCACTCATCTCACATTTTTGATATTCCAGGATGAAAAATCGTCTAGTGTCGGAAGTTCCAACACCAGCTAGAAAAGTTCTTGATCCTACTATGCCACATCCTGATCGTTATGATTTGTATGATCCTAGAAATCCTCTTAATGTTCGTAAGAGGGGTGGAGATGTGGAAAGTATGATAGAGAAAAAATCTCGGCGTGTTTAAGATGTTTCTGACAAATTTGTATTCATTTTTCTGTACATAAGTTGTTGTGAATGTATTTTATACAGTGGAATGCAGCACGTTTCTTCTAATGAATTATATAAGTTTTTGTAATTCTTGATTCACTTCCCTTACAAAACAATCAAGTTTGTAAATAACTGATTTTATTAACACACACTGTTCAACCCAAAACTACTGAATTTCTTGATGACTTGAATTTGTGTCTTATGTTGATGATAAGCTTCAGCTGTAATTGTTGAGGAAAATTTAAATATTTATGTAGATTATATTAATCAAACAAAAGTATGCTCATTCAACTGATTGAACAATGAGACAACACTTCGATATTCATTAGAATGAACTTAAGATTATCGCTTTTTTGTTTCCGTCACACAGCTAGAGAATTTAAAGATCTTATTTAAAAAGTTTCGTTGAATTCGCTTTGAAGTGATTAGTGATAAACTATACATCCTATGAAATTGACTGTTTGATTCCGATTTCTAATTTACGGCTGCGAAACACGGCCATTAAGGGTAGAGGGTACTCGTAAGTTACTAGTGTTTGATCACAAATGTCCTGGAAATATTCGCATCTGCTGAGATCACGGGGCAGGTAACAGTGAGGTCAAACTTAGAGTATTAGGGAATGATGACAAATCAGTTAATGATATTATGAATCTTCATCTACTGAGATATTTGGGCCATGTATTAAGCGTACCGAACCACTGACTACCACGGCGCGCAATATCTGTTTATTCAAACATATAAGTATTGGTACAGAGGAGAACCAAATACATGTACGCCACACTTCATTCGATTTGTGTGAGGGCTTGAATACTGCCCGGGGTCACTGTAGGAAGCAATTTCCTACAGGTGTAACTTTAAACTGTCGAGCACAGAGTCCTGGTTTAAACAAAGTTAGAACAAGTAAGCTATTTGGCTTGGTAAACTTTATGTGTTTCTAAAACATAAATTAACACTGTTAGTATGCAAAATAAACAATACAGTCTATCAACACAGGGAAAAACAGACATAAATAACATACCGAACAGTAACTAGAGGATAGGAAAAATAAGTCAACAAGGCGAACATTGTTTTATAATGAACATAAAATTGTGATTGGTGAATAAACAAGAGATAGTTATACAAGGTCAAAGAAAGTTAATGTGGTGGTGGGCGTTTCACTTGATCATTGGGGAGTTCGTTTTTCGGTCACAATTTACAGTCACTTCCCGAGCCTTTGACCTGGAGGTCTTATCCATAAGACAGTGGAACAACGTCAGGAGATGCAGTCCCATGATTGCCGGTGATCAACAGTGGGTTCATACGTCATCTGTACCCTCAGCACCATGTAGCCCATGTGCACGATTGGTTTGAAATCAGGGTTCTCCAACTCACCTAAGTGGATCCTCCCTACCCGCTAACCCGCTTAAAGTACCGGACATCTGCTTTCCGTCCTCACAATTTTATAAACAACCATCCAGCCTCGAAAAGTCAGTGAGTAGGACTTCCCTGTCAGTGACTGTATACGCGTGGCCATGTGAGAGAATTTTCAGAGGAAGAGCTGACTCTCCCCACCCTGGGCCGTAGCAGGGCATTTGGGGGCGCGCAATGCTGACTGGTGTTGGAGACGGATGAGAGAAAGTTATGGTTGGCCATACCAAAACTCGGCATCCGCACTTGGAATCACTAACTTCTAGTCTGAGCCATGTTGGTAGATGCAGACTACTTGGTTGGGGTCCGTGCACCTATCTTAACCAATGGTTGGGGACTCTGGTTGACATGGCTCAGAAGCGATTACAGTGACACAGATGTATACGCTCTTTGTCTTCCTTTAAACCGTGAGATTAAAATTGCTTTATACCTTTCTTTCTACGAACTGATTCTTTCTTCCTGTATTATATCCTTATACATAATCTTTCTTTTATATATTACTACCAATGAAGTGACTACTGTGATTTCGTTGTTCATCTTGTTGTGCTAATGAGGTGTGTTAACTCGGACCGATGCATATATGTGCCTTGTCTTACGTTTTAGCTGACTGGCTACAATTTCAAAAATATCCCCCTAATATCTCTAATAAACATTTAGCAATGTTAAATGATTGTGATTATTCTTAAGTGTAACTTATTTGGAATTATTCCTGGCTGTATTCTGTGCCGCTCAACTAAATTGGTGTTATTAGTTAATACTTGACATAGCTCAAGAACAAACCGCAGAGCAGTCTTCTTATCGACTTTATTCTTGGGACTCCCTTATTAATGTTCATATTTTTTTATGACTTCAATCAACACAAATGTAATATTAGAATTAGTTAGCAGATATTGGTTGAAAATCAATTGTCAAATTTAGAATTCATCACAGAAGCAGTTTTTTGTAGGGTGATACTTGGTTTTTACCAGAAGGAGAAACTGTTGCTTTTTATGAAGTCTCGATCATCATCTAGAAAAATCTATCCATTCTGTAATGTACAGTTTCCGACTACACAAGGTTTTCCCTTTATCGAAATAATACGATTACAATCTGATGAGGGGTTGCGCCACATCATGGGTCGATTAGAGTTAGACATAAACACTGTTGAATACTGGCTCAGTGGTCAAGAGGTTAAGTGTTTGTGCACGAAGCTGTAGGTCTTGGGTTTGAGTCCCCCCTGACTGATCCTGAATGCGCACTGTTGAGGAGTCTCATACTAGGACTGTGCTTCAATGGTGGTTTAGCTTAGATTGATTCATGAACTCAACTGTTAAAATTACTATAATCTCCACAGATCCCCATCCTGATAATACTTGCAGATATCTGGTTTTAGAAATAGTAGTGCTAGTTTTAAACTCTCAAATTCATGCGTGAATAAGAAGGTTTTGTTGCGTTTGAACTACTTTTAAAGTACAAACTGTCATTCACAAACAAATTTGAATTAAATGGTCGAGTGTACAACTGATTCCGAAGTTCAGATTACTCAAATTTGGTGATATTGACGTACGCTAAATCATTTTCCCGTCATAAAGACAACTTCAAGTTACTTATTTCAGGAGTTTATAAAATCCTCACTGCTACTGTTATTAAGCCGCTTGATTACAAATTACATTTAACTGAATAAACAGTCGGTATTAAAATGTAAATGTTACAGAATAATTCAGCATAAAATAAAATTAGGATAAATGGGTTAAAAGTATCCACGAAAATCAATTATTTGATGCATATACAGTCGTACCTGAAGTAGTTTGTTAAAAGCTGTAAATCATAACTAATTGTCAGAAGTATCATTATCTCATCTAATGTGGTATGTTGTACTGTATCGTCTCATATATTCTGTTTGGTTTAGTTTTATTGTAAATTAAAACAGTTATAATTTAACAATTAAGGAAGCCACTGCGTACACATTGATTTTTTTTCATTTAATAAACCAATCAACTCAGTGAAACACTCAAAAGACCAAGTTTTATTTACAACGTTTTCATTCCTTTCAGTTTGCAGACTAATATACACATTTTGCAACGATTAGTGTTTAGATAACGTTCATTTTAAAATGTAGTATTCAAGGATAGTTAACAATTTCTGAGTTTGCGTTTGTCAGCAAACAGTTTAGTATCCAGGGTTTATTACTGAATTTAACAAAAATGTATGCTGATCGGAGAACTGTTAGGCACTTGGATAATATAGTACAATGTCTGACCGCTAAGTCTAAATTTCCACTTGAATTTAGGGTACCGTTAATAATCAGCCTCTCAGCATGTTCCAGGTTGGGACGAAGATACTTAGAAGATCAGCTCGTGTGATCAAGTGTAACAATCGGTGATTACACTAAATAACTGAAATCTGTCAAAGTTGTCAGTAGTCGTAGATTTTTCTACCGTCTCAAAAAGTTGAAAGTTTTGTGACAGGTGTTCCTTACGTTTATATTTTAGTATGAATACAATGGTTCAGAGAGTTTTATTCGGTGAGTTCTCTACATATCCTAACTTCGTTTTGAATCTGATGTTCAGAATTTCAATTCTTGATTCAGGAATTAGGCTTATAAGTTTAAAATCACATGGCTGTACCTATGTAAGTCTAGGTCTGATTCACTCTTTACACTTCTAAACACATGATGATTTTTCATTAAACATCTGTCAACAAATTGGTGTACAAATCATACATGAAATAGTCATAGTGAAAGTGATTATCATCATAGACGTTAGAATCAATGATACAATCTCTATTATATCCACCACTTGAATACTTTTATTTCACTAAATAACATTTATCAGCTTATTTTTTAAATTTTATTCAAAGTTTGAGCAACTTCTTACACACAAGTCGGGAACAAAATGAAAATAGACAGAATAGGAACAAAATAGAAAACAATAGCAACACCAATAATATAGAAGAGTATATAGATTGTCTACAAATAAAATTAGGGACAAGAGTTCAAACAGAATTTAATCAACCACTATAAATTAGTTCAAATGTTAAAATATTACTTAAATACCTAAATTTTAAGCTAATATGCATTGTTGTTTTGTGTTTTAAAAGGGAATGAATGAAACTTTGTAATGGGCTTTCAATTATATATATATATATATATATATATATATATATATATATATATAATTAGTTGTCAAGTTTATTTTCAGAAAAGTAAAGAATAACGAAATAAAAGCAAGAATTTGAATGATCCATACAATTCATCTTATTGCATTTTATGATATACTAACTGATCTAAGATGAATATAAATTACTTGAGATTTTATTCTTTCTATAGCCTGACAATAACTGTATCCGTAACAACTGCAATAATATTAATAACAATTAAACCTAGAAAATAGAGTGATAAGTTAAGGAAACATTGTTGCTTTTTGAATAAAGAATATTGTGTTGTAGAGGAGATATTTCTTGAGAATCAAATGGGTAATAAATAGGTATAATGTTACATTTATTTGTCTGTGTACAATTGTGTTTCCTATATTAGTTGAATAAAAGAAAAGAGATTAGTTAGTGGGAAATAGGTTTGGGACTAAAACAACAGTATATTATTATTATTAGTAGTAGTAATAGTAGTAGTTGTGGTATTATACAAAGCATATGACTATCTCTCATATTCCTCATTCTTGATAACGTTGTTATCTAATCATTTCAGCTGTACACGGTATAATACACCAGATAATACATGATTCCTTTACTTTACGTAAGTTTGTATATATATGTATATACGTG